TCCCCCGCACATGTGTGCTAGTCGTTCCCGACTCTAGGGGGCGGTGCTCATATCTGTTTCAAAGCCGAAGAGTCAGTGCTGTCCGAAGGTGTCTCCGTGGTCATGTGGCTGGCATGACCAAATGCCGAAGGTGCACAGAACGCTGTTACCTTCCCACCAAAGGTGGTTCCTATTTTTCTACTTGCATTTTTACATGCTTTCGAACTGCTAGGTTGGCAGAAGCTGGGACAAGTAACAGGAGCTCACTCTGTTATGCAGTGCTAGGGATTCGAACCGCCAAACTGCCGACCTTTCTGATCGACAAGCTCTGCATCGTTAGCTAATGAGCCACCGCATCCCTCCGGGTACAGAATACTGAACTCCTAATAATGGTTAGAGTGTTGATAGGGAAACTTCAGATTTCCAAAATTCTTCACGAAGTTTCCTGCAACACTTTTCTAAAGTCACCCAATATTATTATTCTGGTATTACCACATATGGTGAATTGAGGCTGAAAGAAACACTGCTTATCTATAAATACCTGATTTAGTGTTGGCTGAAATGACATTGGAAATGCCAACAAATTATATTATGCAAAGAAGGAAGCTGTCAAGAGTGAAAGAATCAGGTTAGATTTGTTTGTTTGACTGATTGATTTATATGGCTGCCCAACTCACAAATTGAGATTGGGTAATTAACATAAGATTGAAACAGAACAACTGACAAAAATGAAAACAACAGACAACATTGCACAACTGAGGCCAAAGCACAATAATATTTCCAAATGATAATACATTGTAGAGGCTGTAGGCAGACTTGAGTTTAATTGTGTGTTTGCTTGTTTATTGAATCTACATGGCTGCCCATCACACTTACATGTAACTCTGGGTGGCACACACAATTAAAACACAGCTAACAATCACAATATCCAACCCTTAAAATGATAGTTAATCAAAGTAAAACAACAAAAAGACAAGGAGACTGCAGTCTGAACTTACACACAGTGCAACGATTTAATAGATTCCATACCCACACGTTAAACAAGTTGAATTGTTGGCTCTTGATATTCTATAAGCTTGGTTGTCTTCCTGCAGATGTTTCATTAACAGGCCAGGTGACATCAGTGATGCAACTGCCAGAAAATGGCTAAGTTCAGGGAACACCAAGATCTTACAAAATGTTACAACAGGCCCAACACCTGGCCCTACATTTAGGGGCAAAGGTAAGTTTTCAAGGCTTATTATAGGGGTAACAAGATTAGTTTCATCCAAATCGCAGGGTGTTTGCTGTTCCATATGGCAGGAAGACATGCCTCCTGGATATGTCAGTATGTGTTGTTTGTTTGTCTGACTGTCTGTCATACATACATACATACATACATACATACATACATACATACATACATACATACATACCAGTGGTGGGTTTC